TTCAGATTTTAGAACAAAATATGCAGAAAAAAGTAAAATAGGTCGAAAAAATGCACCCATAATGATATCAGTGATATTATCTTCTACCAATGTTTGAATAATAACCAGCGCCCTCTGGGGGACAGGTGCTACATTCCATAATCTCCCTTCATCCGTAATCTGTGACCGCCGCACTTTTAAATTCAAAGCTTGCGAACCAATTTTGGTAGAGCGTGCGTAGTAGCGTGAATACCGCTTGAAATCTCGGGACACCGACTTCAAAGTGCCGACAGCTGAGTGAACTATCTGGTATCCGTAATCTGTGCCCGAAACCACAGATTACGGATACCAGATGGTTCACTTGTGGGCGTAACTGTCCGCAAATTTTCCGTGCGCATGACACTAAAATTGGTTCAGCACTTTTAAAGCTCTTTGAAACTGGTTCGACAGATTAACACGCAAAATAATATTTACAATGAAGCAGATATAAGAATAAAAGTTTAGGTAATAATTCAGGGATTAAATAACATTACAAGGATTAATTTCTACGTTTTCTGGTTATGAAGGGATTTTTTAAAAGTTTTAAAATAATAATCAGAAAATTAGTTAAATAAATACCTACCTGCATTAAACTGTATTATGGTATCGTTTAGTAAATATATCTTGTCTATAATGCCTGATTTTGTAAATGAATAAGAGAATAAAACATTTTCCCTTCTTTTCCTTTAAACTCGTTTCAGCCTTAAATAACCACCAAAAATCGAAGATCACTATAAAGACGAGTAGATTAGAAAACTGTAACAACAAAGTTTAGAAAGGCAAGCGCAGCAAATTTCATTAACTATTCCCTCCAATTCTTCTAACTTTCGGTAACCCTTTAAGCCGTATAGTTAAAGAGGTTACGTTTATTCACCATTCCAAAATTTTAATATACCACTTTCTTGTTAGCACTATATTCGAGAATACGTATTTTTTACGCTCTAAAATTTTTTAATGCCGATGCATGTGTCCGCAATTCTTTTTATAGGCAATTGTGAAATGTTAAGCATTTGTAATAATCATAAATCATTTTGTGTAAGGCAAATAAGTATTTTGTTCGTTTTTTCTTCATTTAGAACCTCATCCCTTGCATCATCGCTGTAATTTTTCTCTGACCGCCGCACTTTTAAATTCAAAGCTTGCGAACCAATTTTGGTAGAGCGTGCGTAGTAGCGTGAATACCGCTTGAAATCTCGGGACACCGACTTCAAAGTGCCGACAGCTGAGTGAACTATCTGGTATCCGTAATCTGTGCCCGAAACTTGGTGGTCGGCAACCAACCGCACAGCTCTAGAGGCGATTCCAAAATTTAGTATTGTATACTATCCTCAAACATATTTGGCGTTTATGACTTTACACCAATTTGACTCCCATTATAATTCAATAGGCCGTCACAACCGGATGTCTTAAACCCGTTCACAGATACCTGAAAAGACCTTTTCGACGTGCCAGGGACGGTCGAGACGCGAAGGACCGGACTCAGAGTAATTTTGTTTGTTAAAATTTTCAAATTTCAAAATTTCCTTACAGAACATGATTTATACTTTGAAGAAAATTACACAAAGACACAATTATTAGAAGTGTTACACACTCGAAAATTTGAGAAACAATATAAAATAGATGCTATGGCGCGAGATCGTGGATTTAGGGTGATTAGACTTCCGCCGTAGCATTGTATATTTAACCCCATCGGACTAATCTGGTCGCAAATGAAAAATAATATAAGAAGGAATAATACGGCACCAAAATTTAGTAGTGCAACAATTGACATAATTAGGGAAGAAGCTTCCAAAATAACTGCCGAAATGTGGGCCAATTGTGTACGACATTCCACAAAAGAAGAAGACCAGTACAGGGCACGGTTGATAACACCGTTAATTATTAATTTAGAAGAGTCGAGTGATGATGACAGTGACTATTTCGATCAATAAATAAGCAGTAGTAGTTAATAAGTAAATAGTTGTGCTGTAATAAAAAATTATTGAGTACAAAGTTACTTTGTTTTTACTTAAAATAAAAAACTCGAAAGGCGCAGTTGTCGGTATATGCAAAACTCAGTCCTGCCCTGTGCTTTTACCAGAAAAGGTCCTTTCAGGTAGGCATCGGTGAGCGGGTTTAAGACATCCGGTTGTGACGGCCTATTGAATTATAAAGGGAGTCAAATTGGTGTGAAGTCATAAACGCCAAATATGTTTGAAGATAGTATAAGAGCACTTTAAATGCATGTTAACAAAATTGTATGATGTAATTACGATTATTTGGTTGACAATGCAGAATCGGCTTTTCTAATTAGGGTCCTTGTAACGTCGCGTGCCTTCAGAATTTCCCGTGTTGCCCAAGCAGACGGTCTATACCTGTATAATTTATGGTTTTAGAGTTTTGGGGGTTGGGTTCTCTGACTAAAGTTGTAAAATATCATTACTTTGTATTTAAAGTGACCTTAGTATAATAGAACAAGATTTTTAAAGTTGTTTACCGAAGTTGTGGATCTTTTAGGCTTATACGAGTAAATGGTATCCCAAGAAAGCTGAGACTTTTCTTTGGAGCTTCCTTTCTTAGAAAGCATTTCCTTAAAAAATGCATGAATCCCTTTAAAGTGATCTAAAAATTGGCCAAGTTTATAATTTTTTTATTAAAAATTGCACACTAGGGATGAACATAAAGTAGGAGATCCCCTGGACCCAAGTTTGTTAAATCGAAATATATATATATATATATTTTTTCCCGAAACCGCCACGATGTTCCCCAAGTACAGTATAACCTCTATAATCCGAACCCACGATTATCCGAACATCCAGTAATCCGAACATCCAGTAATCCGAAGAGAGGCTAGTTGAAGTCGATATCTCTTTAATTCGAACAAAAACTCTACAATCTGAACTGAACTTGAAAACATGCACCTACTTGCAAAAATGACGAAAGATCTTCTTTCTGTACATGTTGTATTGAATTTTTTGAAATTTTTAAAAATAGTGATATTTCAATGCCCTGAATTAATTAACTAATTCTCGAAAAAAGGTTAAAGTTATCGAAGAAATGAGGCCGGAAGTGACTTCAATGCCCCGAAATCTACAAGAAAAAGTGTTTAGTTAAATTTAGAAAATCGTCGAAAATGGATCGAAATTTGCTAGTACTTGCCAAATAACTAGAGATGTACCGACTGTAGGTCTGGCCGACTAACCGACTAGCCGATTGTTCGGCCAGTAAAAACCGACTAGTCGGCCGACTGTTCGGCTTTGCTAAAACCGGTTTATAAATGCGACAGACAGTGTTTTTTTTTTCTATTTCTCTGACTACCTTAAAAATTTGTTTTATTTTAATAAAAGGAATAACTAAAATTCCTCTGTTTTCCAAAAAATTTGTTAAATTTGTTTGGACAATTTTAACATTTAATTTTTTTTGGTAACTCAGTACGAAAATAAAGAATAACATAATTTAGGGCCAGTTTATGTAATATTTTAACTGAGATTAAGTTGATCGCGCATTTAACAAGGCCATTAGCGACGTCTGATTGGCGTAGAGTCGGTCACATGGTACTTTAACGCGGGGTTAAAAATTAAATCGGAATTAATTTTTAACTTTTTTAATTGTTTTATATACTATTTTAATTTTAATAAAAAAAAGCCGACCGATCGGCTGTTTAGCCGACCAGTCGCCGACTGCGGCCGACGATGGAAAACGGCCGAATAGTCGGCTTATCCTAGTATTTACCAAAATAAAACTCATTTTTGCAAATGACCTAATCTTCTAAGAAAAAGTACTAGCCCCGCCCACCCACCCTTTTTTTTCTTAGAAGAGTGGGTCATCTGCCAAAATCAGTCTTATCTTAACAAGTACTAGCCCCGCCCACCCACCCCTTAATCTGTTAGAGGATATGTCATTTGTAAAAATCAGTCTCATACTTGCCAAGATATGAGTGATTTTGGCAGAAAATAAAAGGTGGGTGGGCGGGGCTAGTATCTTTTCTTAGAAGACTAGGTCATTTGTCAAAATAAGTCTTATTTTGACAAATACTACCCTAGCCCACCCGCCTTTTAGTTTCTTAGAGGGTAGGTTATTTGGCAAGTACTACCATAGTGTAAAATTTCATTTTTGAAAAATTTGTCTAAAAATTCTGAAAAAATTCAGAGATATATATGTATATCCCCACGTGCTGATTCCAAAAATATAGCATGTTTATGGTAACGGAGCAATATTTTTTTCCAGTCTATCTATTATCCATTGTTGGTTAAGAATACTTTATTTCTAATAAAATTAAGGTTTATTTCTTGAAATTTGTTTAAAGCAATGTATGAAGTTGTTATTCAATTCCCTGTCAGTTTTTTGGGAAATTCGCTGATCCAAACAAATCGCTAATCCGAATACACCTTTCCCCTATTAATACAGGTTATCGAGGTTATACTGTATTTATTTATTTTTTTATTTCAACATCTTGACTATTCAGGATTCGGCGAGCATTTGCCGGTTTATGGCAAGAAGGGCCAAAGTCAGCTTGCTTTAGTAGAGTGTCACGGACAAGAAATAAGAACTAATTCTGTGTTTATTAAGACATTTATCTACGAAAAGAGTTGATTATACCTATATAATACGGTACGCAGTCATACCTCTAAGGATAACTTTCCTTGCTACCCTCAACTGACTAGATTAGAACGGTTTTATATACAGTTTTCTAAAACTCAATAGACAAAATGTGAAAATATCGACAATATGATGTTAAAACCCTTATCAAACTTGTTAAAGGCCAAAATTAACTTTAACATGAATTTTAATTATAGAATGTAAGATTTTTTTTGTTTTGTCAATCAAGTCCAAATTTTACTACCTTAAAAAAATAATTCTCGCTGTTTCAGTATCTCAAAATATTTTATATCGACCGATCCGCTGAACCTTCAGCCGTACCTTCGTCACCACTTCCCCTTAACCCCTCCGAAATTAGAATTCCCTGAAAGCGCCATTAATTCTTTAACTCTTCGTATTTTTAGATAGCGGAGCTCAGCCACTCGGTCTCCAGCCCCATGTCCTTCCGCGTGGAATATAAACGCGGCACGACAGGTCCAGCCATGTTTCAGCGCCACGTCCGGTTTCAGGTCGATATTTCCACAATAACAAAGCAAGTCGGCGACAATGGCAAAGAACACCTCTATGCCATCACTTTCACGCTCTTATCGGGTAAGTTTCCGCCCCATTGAAACCGCTCAGACTGTGACAGAATCTCTAGGCAACATCCGACGTTTCCGGCGCGTCTGCGAACACATCCAAGCGCAAGTGTGCACCCGCCGGCCCCCACCTAGCCCTCGAGCACAGCGGAAATTCACGACGGAGCTGAGCGAGAGTTCGAGTTGCGGATCGGATTCGAGCGAGTTGTATCTGAATGCAAGACAGGTGAGATGATCCGTGCAAAGCTACAAGGGAAGAAATGTGTGAGGGAGGTTTCTAAAGGTTGTTACTGATTTTAGGCAGATTTTTCTAAAGTTTCTGTAATTTATTTTTATTTAGGACTACACTGCACTACACTACGTTCCAAAAAAGTTCAACACCCAGGAGGGTACTGATCTTAATGAAACCACTGACTCTGAAATAATAATAATATGCCAGATCATGCTATTGTTTATACACTCACTCTAATAATATCTCGAGTTTAAATTAATTTTTTCCAAAATTACCTGAATCGAATGCAAAAGCCACTTTAACCTATACAGCTCTGGAGCTGATATGGTAAACGACATCGATACTCGAATCATCATTTTCTTCTAAGATTCTAAGTAAGATTTTAATTTTACTATTTAAAACAAATATGTACACCGTTGACATGAAGAATCTCTTTGTAATATAGTAAATAAGTTTGACGACCTTGTTATAAAAGAAAAGACAAAAATACTTATAAATTTTTTAAAGTCAGATTTTAAAACTTTTTTCTAATTCTCTCTGAAATCTGAAATCTGAAAAGAATTCTATAGCAGACTCTGCCACCTAAGGTTGTCAAAATAACTAACCTTAGGTTGATGATTTGTTAAAATAAAGACATCAAATTTCCTCGAGAGAAAAAATTTAAAGAAATAATATCATACTCAGTCTTTGTAAAGAAAGATAGAAAAGAACTGCTCCTTCTAGGTGTTACATCTTTTTTGGAACCTACTGTAGTTACAAAATATTCATTATGCATATATTGAATCATGAATCATGAACCTTTTTTGTGCTTACGTATGTACACATTTCAGTTTTCCTGTGCTGTCCTAAAGTTTCATTACATTACATTTAGTTAAAGAAAAGCTTTTCAAACTTCCTGCAAAACTGCAAAACTTCTATTTTTTTAGTATTTATTGAAATATTTCTTGCACAAAATAACGTCATTAGTGATTTGAGGAAAACATAACCATCTTACATTATTTTAGTGTACATGAATTACCCAAAACTTCCACTAAAGTTTTTACTCTTTTACTCTTCCTCTAACAACTCATGCCAGATTTTCCAAATGTTTACTTACCACCTTGAATACTAATACAATGTTCCACCATTCAACAAAAATACTTCATTATTGAGCCAAAAATTCTCTTAGCGTACTTATACTCTTGTAAACTTTTTCTACAAGTCCACACCTTCGTAAAGAGTTTTCCTTCTTTTCATAATTGCTTCTTTCTCTGTTTCTGTCAGGTTTCAGAATTACTTCTCTAAGAAAACAACGACAGCCCAGATATCCCCTAAAACTTTTCAAGATTTCCTAAGATCTACAACCTGGAAATTTTTCAAAGTGTTTCAGAGAGTTCCGCTTTTTTACAAACGTACCTGAAATTCCTAGACATTTTTATTAGTAATAGTTACAAACTAGTATTAAACGATATATAAACTTCTTCTGTTAATTCAGTTAAGACATTCCTGTATCTTTTGTGATTGTTCCCGAGAATTTTGAAATATAGTGTGACCCGATAATGTTGTCAAATGAATTTTATTTTTTCCTGGTCTCTTGAGCAACGTTTTTAGTATAACGCAGTATAAAAGTGGTAAACTTTTCTTTTCTGGTGTCCATTTTAAGCTTAAGTGAGCCGTTTAAATAAATACTCAGAAAGATTTTCCTTGTTTGCATGGTACGCCTGAAATTTCTCAAAATTTTCCTATAATTTTTCAAAGCTTTCTCCATACTTTTATACGATCCTCTAAGTATACATCGATTTTTTTTGAAGATATTTTCTTAGGAATCATCACCGGTTGTAGTAGTTTACAGCCAACTACATAAATTTCTAATAACAATTCATGACTCTTTTTCAAATTTCTAACAGAATTTTCGTGTTTCCTCATAGCAAAATTTCTTGACAATTTTTCGTAGAGTTCACCACTTTAAATATCGACTTATATAGTGTATGCGATTTTGGCATATTTAAAATTTAATGATGGCATACCTGATTGTCAAGTCTATAACAGCGATCGATTCAACCAATCAACACGTTTGTTAGGCGTGCTTATGTCAAAATTGACAACTGTGACACACTGTATAAGCAAATCTAAAAATATTAATATACAAGTACAGACTGATCATATTTTGTACATTGTACAATTTAGATAGGATTTATGCGACAAAAATTTGAGATGACGTCATCCATTTTTTTGGAGTTGATAAACAGATACATTTTGATTAAAAAATTATCATGCTTACAACAACTTCAAAACGTCTGTAAGATTTCAAAATATTCAGCTTTGCAATTCTTGATTTAATCAATAAAATAAATTGATTCAGCCATACATTTTCTTGAGACACCTTGTATAAGCAAATTTAAAAAATTGGCCGAAAGTTATTTCACAGAACTTCCCTCGCCCCCGAAGTGCAATGCCACAAATTCCGCTTAGTCGAAAAATTCAAAAATTTGATTTTGCGAATTTGTATTCAATAAAACAAATACAAGAGTATGCGATTTTATAAAATTTATTATAAACATTTTTGAGATGTCATGACATTGATTTACCATCTATATGATATTCTTAACAGACATATAAAATACAATCGGTCCGGTATTTTTGGAGATTATCTGCCTAATAAAAATCTGAACAGACGATACACAGACTAGGCCACGAGACCTAATTTTTCATATTCTATGGGCCATGAAATGTTGAGAAAAAATAAAAGTAGCCAGTCACCCGCCTGTAGACTCGATTACAATACTTTCTTTGCTTGCTCTCAGGAAGTGAAAATAAAATTCGCAAAATCAAATTTTATAATTAATTTTCGAACATTTTGTATTTTATAGAACGTGTATTTCCACAACACAGAAAACACAATATGTTTCGCCAACCACGTTGGCATTATCTACGCATGCTTACAATAACTTCAAAACGTCAAGATTTCAAAGTATTCCGTTTTGCAATTCTTGATTTAATCTATAAAATAAATTGACTCAATCATTAATTTTTGTCAGACACCCCGTCTAAGCAAATGTAAAAAGTATTAATGCAGTGATAAATCACAAGTATAGACTCATCATACTATGCACATTTAAGATAGTATTTTTTCAGCAAAATTTTGGGGTGGCGTCATCAATTTCTTGGAGGGGATAAGTAAATATATTTTGATTAAAAATTTATCATGCTAATCATAACTGTAAATCATCTGCAGTATTTCAGAGCAGTCGGTTTTGCAGATTCCAAATTAAATTGCAAAATCTTTTTTCATAATTTTGATTTTTTTTCTTCAAAAATCTGGACATTTCTGGTAAAAATTCAATTCGGAGCCATAAACTACATGTGTAGGACTACCAATTCCACAACCATCGGTCCAGTACTTTCGGAAATTATCTGTCTAATAAAAATCGGGGACGGCAGACAGACAGAGAGCCAGACGGAAACGAGAGACCTATTTCTTCGGCCTCTTGGGATCAAGCAAGGTCGAGAAAACGTAAAAGTAGCTCGGGAAGCCCTAGAGTACGAAAAATTCGGTCTCCCGTTTCCGTCTGTCTCTTGTCTGTTTGTCTGTCTGTCGTCTATCTATTCGATTTTTATTAGACAAATAATCTCCGAAACTACTGGATCGGTTGTTGTCAAATTTTGTACATACTGTTACGTTGTACGGGCGAATAAAATCGACGTGGGTAAAACTTAACAATTACTACCTAGAATTTACACGACTAACAGCGGTTATAACCAGGCGCGGATCCAGGGGGGGGGCAATTGCACCCATTGCCCCCCCTGACACACGACCGAGGTACTTTATTTTGACCAATTTCAAAATTTTGTAAATACAGTACAACCTCTATAATCCAAACTCACGATTGTCTCAACATCCAGTAATCCAAACAGCGGCTATTTGAAGTCGATGCCTTTTTAATCCGAACAAAAACTCTGCAATCCGAATTGAACTTGAAAACATGCATCTACTTCCAAAAATGACGCAAGATCTTTCTGCATATGTAGTATGGAATATTTGAAATTTTTAAACATTGCGATATTTCAAAGCATTAAATTAATTAACTACTTCTGGAGAAACGGATGAAGTTATCGGAGACCCCAAATCTACAAGAGAAAGTGTTTTGTTAAATTTTGAAAATCGTCGAAAATGGGTCGAAATTTGCATGAGAAAAATTTCATTTTTGAAAAATTTTCCTAAAAATTCTGAAAAAATTCAGGGATATATATCCCAACGTGCTGATTCCAAAAATATACCATGTTTATGGTAACGGAGCAATATTTACGGAAAATTCGCTGTGAAATTCGAATTTTTCGAAATTTTTAAAAATTTCCATATTTCAACTGGACGATTCTGGAAAAATGGTTTAAGTTATCGAAGAAATGAAGCCAGAAGTGACTTCTGAGGTCCAAAATCTACAAGAAAATATATTTAGTTAAATTTCGAAAATCGTCGAGAATGGGTCGAAATTTGCATAATGGAGGTAATACCAATACATAATGGAAAATTTCATTTTTGAAAAATTCATCTAAAAATTCTGAAAAATTTCAGGGTATAGATCCCGGGGTGTTTATTCCAAAAAGATAGCGTGTTTATGGTCACGGAGTAATATTTTTTTAGAATGTATCTATTATCCATTGTTGCTTAAGAATTCTTTAATTTTTGTTTAATAAAATTTAGGTTTGTTTCTTGAAGTTTGTTTTCAGTTGTGTATGAAGTTGTTATTCAATTCCCTTTCAGATTTTTGCGAAAATTGCTGATCCGAACAAATCGTTAATCCAAACACACCTTTTTCCCAATTAGAAATTAGGATTCTCGAGCTTCTACTGTACACTATACGTGTAATGAAAATAACCAAATGTCACCCATGTTATGTGAAAAAGAGTGTACTAGCTAAAATTTTATAAATTTTTTTGTTTAGAACAAATTTCTGGTAGATGGGTAAAATCACACAAAAAATGCCCCCCCCTGAACGGAATCCTGTATCCGCACCTGGTTATAACATAATTCCGGCGGAATTTCTTTTGACCCAACTAGCTGAATAATAATAATCGTTCCCGATAGTCGCTTCTATTTAAACCCATATTCCCTTCTCGATGTTTCACAATGGAGGTGTTTCTCGACTCCTAGCGACTTCCGCTTCCAGGCCTTTCTTCAGCGAACACCGCTTCGAAGGTTTTCTTTGCATACTACATAGGCGTCGTACCGGGGCGGCGTATGGGATTACTTCGTAACAATATGTTAGGAATATCATATAGATGGTAAAAGGCTAAGCAAAATTTGGTTAATCATAGCCAATAATAATTTAATTTCCCTACATTTGTTTTTTTTTTTTTTAATAAACGTCATTTAAATTTTATACAACAACATACTTCTATACTCGTGATTTATGAATCCATCTTTATTTTTTACACAAGGCATCCAAATTTTCGCAAAAAAATCATCACATTTTACACCAGTATAAAAGCACTGACATCTAGTCAATTCGGTAGTCGTGCGATAGAAATGTCGGGTTACTAACGCTGTAAAGTAAAGTCGCTGTCTCATTTTTTTTTTTTGTATTGATCAAATCAAGGACAAGTCACCGCACTCCATTTTTTCGGAAATTTGAGAATACAGTAATGTTACGTCCGCCTATATGTAATAATAATAAAATAAGATTTATTATACTCTTCCGAAGGTTTTGCTCCATTATAGCTTAATTAATAACTTTAGTCATCGCCTTCTATGTTTTGAAGAGACAAAATCATTCAAATCAGGTAGATGTTTCTTTTGATGTATAAACATGAACGATCGAATTTAAGCATGTACTGATAATACATTTTTCAAAGAAGTCGGATTTGTTAGACTGTACTTCATGGGCGAGAAAAGTTCTGTCGAATAACTTGCGAGCAATTTTTTTAGATGTGTCTGATTGCATAGAAGTTTTTCGGATTTTTTTTAATTCATTCAACATAGAAACTTATTTCTTTATAATCGCTGTATGGTAATCTACAATTTATTAGTAGAAAGTGTTTATACCATATAATCGAAAAAAAATCTAGTAGGCAGCGGAGGAGTTTTTTCGATCATATGGCCTTAATCAGTAATATTATAAACATACAGTTCTTAAACATTTCTATAAATTCTGTATGTATAACTAATTTGTCAATATATTTTTTTAATTCAACACTCCTCATTCACTCAAATTTGTGTGAAGTATTCACATTTACTCAAAAACTTCTTCTTGGGAAACCAAGAAACCACTCCTTTTTAAATTTTGTGCACTGATGAAAATTGTTCCGCTATTCTTAAATATTCGCGAAAATTTTCATTCCTGTTCTAATCTGTAGATCAGAATCACCAAAAAATGTTTTTAATACTGACCCTGTCACAAACATTTTTTTGGCTTCCATTCTCTAAATACTTGTTTCCAAGTAGCCTAAATCGTCCGGAAACAAGCTGTTTCCGTCCTAGACCGTAGAAAAAGACATTAACAATAATTTCATTGGTCTCTATTAATGTTTAAGTATATTATTTAATTAATAATGATTTAATATACTTAAACAATGTTTCTATGCAAGGAAAGTCCGCAATTCTTTTAAAAACTGGCGACCTCTACGATCCTCGACAATTTCAAACTTCAAAATAAACTTCTTAAAACTGAGGTATTCTCATATTCCCTTCATAATGTATCCATTTGCCTTTATTCATAATTAACAGAAATTAATATTCACGTATTTAATACTAATACTTGACTGGAAACGCAAAAGTACTAAAGTACAGAAAAAACACTGTTTTTGTAGACTAATAAAACTTTACAACCTAAAGATGAAAACCGCAAATCGTGGACCCTCGGTTGGAGGTCGCCACTTGGTGATCAGGGATGGATTTGTTTTATTCTGTAAGGAATTCAACTGAGGTGTCTGTGAAAGGGTCTCTTAGAGTAGTAGTAGTTTGTGTTTGTCCATCATGAAATAATTAGTCTCAGTATTCAGCCGAGTGAGTCTCTAATCATCAACTATATATCTAAATACATCCCTGAAATTTACGCATATTCAAAGCAGCACGCGGCGTCTATAAATTCTGGATTTTTTTGAAACACAAAATTTTTTTACCATCTAGAAAAAACACATTTTCTCCTAAATACATCTACACCATATTAACCACTTTTTTAAATAATTATCGACAAGAGTTTTCTTTATTGTTCGTAATTTTCTGTATACGTGAACTTACCAAACTTCCTGAGCAGTAATTTTCACATTTCCTTCAAAATGTTGTATGCATGTGTTTAAGGAAACGTGAAATTTTAGTTTTTCTGCGTGCTTTTTTTATATACAATTCACAATTTCATTACGTTGCCGAAACTGCTTGTAGAATTTTCATATTTACTTACACCTGTACACCAACAATTCATAGAATATTTTTTCTTTTTAACACTCGCACTTTAGATCATTTACATAAGAACTTAAAACTATCATTCAAGTGATTATAAAAGATCACACATCAAGTTGGCGTTGAAATTTTGTGAATTTTGCCGCTTCCAACTGATAATGATTATACTCGTCGTTTGTCACAAATATCAATCATATCCTAAACTTTAAGCATTTCTTAAGTATCCCTGTTTGAATACAACTAAAACATGTAATACATATAATACAACTTGATGTACGATCTTCTATAATCACCCCTCTATTAGAACAAGAACAATTTCAGATTACTTGAGCTCTCCTAACCATTCTCAACGATTTCCTCGGACTGGTACATACCTCTTAAAACTCACTTCAGAACGTACATGACAATTCCTCTAGATTTTCCGTAATTTTTGACTCGACTTTTTTAGCTCAACGTGCTGCAGCTGGAAGGAAGCGACCTTGAGAGCGAATGTAGCGTTTTTGACGTACGAACGGCCACGAGGGAGGTGTCTAGGAGGGCCTCTACGAACAACAACACGGAAACGATCGAACAGACGACTCCGGGGACTCCCAAAGCTGTCAGATCGAATTCCGAGAATACGGATTCATGCGAAAAAACGTGCATAACGACCATGTCGGGTAGTTCTATAGCGTAATGACGAGCGATTTAGGTGTTTGTTTAATACGGGATAACCTGTATATGCGAGTGGAAGGGGTGGACAAAACCGAGCGATGTGTGGGAGTTTGGCCATCCCTGTCCCTTGAATGAAGCGGTTAGCCTTTTCTATCGCATCTGCGTCGGCGAACGATCGTGGGTAAACGGTGGTTCCCCGGCGCCGGTGCTTTTTTTCGTTGACGCTGTACCGAACGTACTTCTTTGTTTCGGCTATGTTGTCGGCCATTTTAACGGTGCAGCTGAAGTTCTGGGGACAAAACCTAACCTGTCCATGTTCGACTGTGTGTTTGCGAGTACACTTTAGTTGGACACCCTGAATAAATTGTGTTCTCTCGGCAGATTGTTATGACATTGCTTTTGTACATAGCTGAAAGCTTATGTGATTTTGGATATTGTTCAGTGTAGTTGTAAAAAACAATTGTTGAACAATTAAATGGCGTAACCATTACTGTCAAAAAAGAAACTAACCCCAACAGTGCGTAGCTAGGTAAACAAAATTGTGACATTCTGTATATAAATATACTTAAGTCTATGCTACTGGCCCCTCCCAGAAAAATCAAACTATTCAAATACGACTTATTTCATGATATAAAACTGTATTTAGAGAAATTGCCGGCCATATTGTCATATTTAGGAATAAAAATATTGATAGGATTTATGATATTTTGAAATCGCGCATTTTTTCGCTTCTGACGGTTCTTGTGTGTTAACATATCAATTTTTCAGCCGCTCAATTTTATCCTTGATTCGATAAATACGTAAATAATGGTTATGTTGTGGCAGTTCTGACGTGGGAAAACAAAATCCCTATGTACCTTTGTAAATAAATTCTATGTAAATTTTTCTTTGACTACATTTATAAAAGAAAGTTATCTGTTTTCAGTTGACACTGTTTGTTTCTGTTCATGCACACATACGTTAGTGTTATAGTGAATTATTTTATATATTAATAAATAAATTAAAGTGAATATAGTTTATGTGTAAGTGCTTGTAAATAATATTGTGATAAATAAATCAATTTGCACAAACGTAACACTTTCTGTCAAAAAACGACCCTGATATTTACCGGAAGTTCATTCAGAATTGATCAAGCGACATGTGTTACGTTGGAAACAGCGCGACCACAACAAGGTGAAAACACCAACTCTACAACAATCACAATCGATCCACTCGCGCTTCTTCCTTACGCCACTCAAATTCTCACCTACTCAGCAACTAAAACCCAACCCTAACCCACAATCTACCTCTTCAACCCAAAAATACCCCCAAAAATAAAACCAGTCCACTCCTGGCTCCCTGCATCGCACCTGCTACCAACTTACCGTCGTCGCGCTACACCATAATTAACCTTTAAAAAAGGGGAAACATCGAACAGGTGGGGGTGGTGCCATGTGGTCGAAGGGTTCGAACACGTCATGGTGCCGTCAGTTGGTATCCAACCATGATTTTACAACCAACAACCGTCGAACTAACGAAAATCCATTTCTACAACCGCGAAATTCCGACGATATCGCGCGAAATCTTCGACAATCAAATAAACAATACCGTCGTAATTAAAAAAAATCTCTTCAGACATAAATGGGTGCTCAAAATCAACGAGATCGGGGGCGGCCGCGAAAAGTTCCAGTGGCGGCTCGTGGTATACGTTTTGGGGTTGAGTTGTCTTGTGGTGGCAGTGGTCTTTGGATTGTACTTCACATTCGGAAGAGGGACGAAAAGAGTGGAGTTCGGGACAATTTTTACTTTTGTGAAGGAGACGAACGCTACTGAGGCGGCGGTGGAATTGGTGACGGAAGTGGTGCCAACTTTAAACTTAACCACGCACGAAAAAGTAAAAATCTGAGTTGAGATGGCTAGATTTTGACATTTATAATAACTGATACTTTTAGAAAGTAGTTAGATTGTCTTAAATACAATGGATTGTTGTCAGCGTCGCCTTAGAGAATTTTTGGTGGCACTAAATACATTTGGTAACACTGTAAGTAGATTCTTGTGCTACGAAAGTTAAAGAGACGATTTCTATTTTGGTTTTTCAATTGTTTAAAATTACAAGTTGTATATACCTATTGTATGTATGTATCTGAAAAGTGGAAATAGTAATAATAGTAAAAATAATCTAACCTTATATAAATAATAAACAAAAAATGACAAATAAGCTCGATGGCACGTTGTTCAGAAGGTTCTCAAAAACTTGAAAACAATTATTAAAAGAATCCCTGAACCAAATTTTCGAAAATAGTAAACTTGTAAGTTGAATAATTAACTTCATAATTCTGATATGAGTTTAAGTGACAGTTTAAAAATCCGATAAAAATTGTCAAAAATGAATCAAAAAACGTTAAAGACATGTAAATCATATAGTGTGTGATCCATAATTACTATTTCAGTTTGGTATTAACAAATTTTGTTTAAAATTGGTAGAACTGTGACTCAACTTTACTTCCTTTAAGTTCCTGTTGTCAGAATAGACTGGGTTGACAGCGACATTTAACTAAAATCAAAATTGACTACTGATTATTATAGATTGTTAAGTTGTTAACTTAATTCTATTGTCAATGAAAACAGTATTTGTTAAACACGCCGTATAACATACCATAAAACATAATTAAAATAGCTTATAGTGTGTAAATAATTATTATTGTTCACACAGATGAAATACCACAGAGCAAGTTTCAGTGTTACCAAATGTGTGAGAAAAAAATCTCCTTTAATTGTTTAATTATTTTCAGCAAACCCGATGGAAGTTCTGCCAAAACTGTACGTCACGTGACCACATCTGTTTAAAACAATCGGAAGTGGATATTCCACAATGTGTACAACCGTTAGATAAAAAAGACCCCACCGGCTGCGGTGGTTTTTGTTCGATTAATACTCAGTTCTGCCAACTCCTAGACAATCAAAGCCGAATTTTTCAGTGTTCTAATCTTAAAAACACCCTAAAATGTCCACGCAAAACCTTCAACTGTGGAAATATGTGTATCAACGAACATAAAAGATGCGATGGAATTATACACTGTTCGAACAAAATCGATGAAATGAACTGTGGTATGTTGGTTCTTTTTTGATTTTTAAGTTTGTAATTCGGAATTTACAGATTGCAATCTTGATACACATTTCCGATGCGGAAATGTGACGTCTTGTCTTTTGAAACTCAAGAAGTGCGACGGTTTCGTGGACTGCTGGGACAAAAGTGACGAAATTGATTGCAAGCAAGGTAATATGTCACAATTTATCAAAAATGGTGTAAATTATAAGCCGATTATGTCGTAGTGCACTTTGTCATGTTATGGCATTTTGAATATGTGGCAACCTGGCAACCTTGTGATTTTGTATTATAGTTTTGGAAATTATTGATAATAACGAAACGGACAGTAGTACAATGGCTAGAAATATTTATGGCTCACACCAGTTCACCCGAATTTGTCGGAGAACATTTAGCTGGTAGTTGTACTCATAAAATCATAGTCATTTTCTTTTGTGTGTAACGATGATCCATGTCCGGACCTGGATTATTCTGCTTTCTAACATCTGGGGATTACCGGCACGCGACAACTTGTAAACAAGTTGTAAATATCTCTTGCTATTGTACAACTGTCCGTCTCGTTATTGCCAATAAAATTTTCCAGGGTGGAATGAAACTTCCAAAACTATACGAGTTATTTTAAATTTAACTATTTAAGTACCATAGAAATAATCTAGTTAATTTCGTTCTTTCAGGTTGCAAAAACAACACAATCCCTTGCCTTAACGGCGACTGTATACCCAAAGAAAACTTCTGCGACGGAAAATACCACTGTCCCGACCGTTCCGACGAACCTCAAGGCTGCCAACTATAAAACACCAACTTCATAAATTACTCTGTTACTGTGAAGGAAATGATCCCTTAGTCGTTGATTAAATACATACATTAAGCATTGGCTTATTATTATTAAAGTTTTAGTGATCACCCTTGATTATGCCACGAGGTGGCTGTTGCATAGGTGTTCTTGACTTTATATATTAATATTGTAGTTGATAATATGGAAAAACAATGGTAAGTATATAATAACATACTGCGCATAGTACAAGAAGTCATGGGATGATATTGCACATTTCGTGTGACGTCATCTGGATGTCATGACAGCTAACTTTAAATTCTGGCTTTGGCTTGTTGCATGTTCAGATTATCATTAATTCATTATCAATGAACGATCCCAAATTTTGAATATATGCTATGAACGTCTGATGTGAACTTAGCTCCTTCGGAGATAAGTTAACCCATAATTAAACACTCAACTGAACCAAATCTCAACCTCCGTTATAACCTCATACATCACTGATAAATTGATACTTGACAGCTTTCCGGAATAGCATACCATATGTTCTTGTAGCATGATACTGCGTACGATGAGGACCTACATATTCACCTATTTATTTAATTAATAAAAATCATCATGAGTGAGGATAAAGAGTCAACAAATGCACGTATGACGAAGCAGCAGATGGAAGAACGTAGGAAATTATTAGATGGAAAGTTCTCCAAGGACTTTTCATTTAAAACGGCATAAAATCTTTTCAACGGGGCTGCTGAAAAACTTAATTCCTTCTGAGCGTCCGAAAAGATTGCAAACAATGGCGAAAGATAAGATAAATTATGAACAATACAGAATGGCTTAGCTGGCAGGGGCGGCTTGTCCTATGAGGCAGGTGAGGCAGTGCCTCACCAATGAATTTTACGCCTTATTAGGATTTTTATTATTTTATACGGACACATTTCGGCCAATAATTTGTGTCTTTTTTCTAAAATTTTAAAAATAAATATAGAAAATGATATTCTTATTTTTATCTCAGTAGGTACTCGTTGCTCCCTTAATTAAACAGCGCGCTTAAACACTCGGCACAACATGTATTTTGTGACGCGAATGAGGCAGACTGGAAGCTTGCCTCTACAGCATATATAGAAATCATGTCGTTAATAGGCAAGCAACCTGCAATACACTCATAAGCGGTATGAGTTGAAAAAAGACAAAATTGAGGCTAGCCTCATTTCCGTGCTTGCAAAAGAGATGGACAACAATATTTGCGCGCCTAGAACGTGCGATTACAATGCAGTCTGCATTGGCAGAAATATTCAAAATTAGGCCGTTGATTGTTTTGCCATAAATCTGTGTGTGTATAAATTGATTCAAAATTTCGGTAACAGAATTTTGTCTTAAAAGTGCCTACGTCTGCGTGGGTCGCGTTAGTGCTTTGTGCTTGTCATAATTTGATTTCGGTAATCGTTATTTAAGATTACGAGTAAATCGGAATTTTTCTCTACTAACGTTAAATGACAATGGCAGTTCTGTTTTTTCTACTTTCTCGTATGATGATAAATTGTATGTAGTTAAGGAATTAAAACCGCCGGTTCCTGATTTGAGTAAATCGTTAATTGATCCATAAAAAAAATTTAAAATAAATCCGTATTTATATTTTATATTTTTTTCATTTTGTTTTTTGTTATAAATCAAATTAGCTTTATTTTATGTTGTATTTGATCTTTTTCGATATGTTTTCTTTAAAGTTTATTTTAATTTTGTTTTTTGTTAGAAGTTATATTTGTTTTTTCTGACCACGCTTCCCTTTCCTTTTGTCCTGTCATTCTCATCCTTTCCTTGCAAGACCTCCTTACACCTTCACGTTGGTTCTTTGTGGACAGTTAAATGAGTTTACAAATTTCTTTATTTGACTAAATAGAAAATATTTAAGTAATTTTGATTTATTTATATTTTAGAGCGTTTTGTGCTTTGCCTCATCAATTTTTCAAGTCATGAGCCGCCCCTGGTTAGCAGCTTCGCAATTTTTTGACAATTGGAATATTATAATTAATATATTAAATATTCAGAATATTTAAAAATTGTAATGATATCGATTTTTTGAAGACTTGGCAGGACTTGAATACAAAAACAAACAGTACGGTGACTTCTTTTTTTGATACTTCTGTGTCACCACGACACCAGAAGAACGCCTTTTCTGCATCTGATATTTTTTTGTTTTTGGCTAGCCAAGATGACAATTCTGGTACCAGAACCAGCAGGAAGAATGGACTAAGAATAATCCGACCGCTACCTAAGAGGAAGTATTCTATATCTGGGTTCTGCGGTTTTAGTTATGTACACTTCCGTGGATGGTCCTAGAAGCCCTCCACACAGTCGTGTGAGTAATCTACCAGTTAGTACCATTGGTAAGTTTGAAGGCAACACCATATCAAACAAGAGATGTTTGTTAACAGTTGAGTTACTTTTCGGCCAAATTTTTCCATAAGAAGACCTCCCAAAAGACAACCAAAAACAATGGGAAGAGCTGCCATGAATGCTAAAAACAGACAAATAACACTAATTTTATAAATATTGCATAAAGATGTAAAATTAATAATTCTTTGCATACGCTAATTGAAATATAAAAAAACATTTTAGTGTGCACATTCGTTGGTAATTCTTACTGTCATTTTATTTTTTATATGTATATATTAAAAATTTCGAACTACGTCTGACATTCAGAAATAAATGTTCCTTCGTTAATGGGGTAAATATTTTTCTGTGAATGAAAATTGCTAATAGTTTTAATAATTTTTAATTAATGTTTTTGCATTACACGATGTTATAAGTATAACAGGACGTATATCGAGTTCAAAAAGACAAGAGATAACTTACCCTTCCAAGAAACATCGCTTCCATTTATCTCTAGTGAAGTTTAATTTTCCAGTTGTGGCAAAAGAGAGGTGGAAAAGCCCGACGTCAATCTGATGAGACCTGGTATTTACTGTGAAAATGTTTGAAGCAAATTATCCCTTAGACATTTGCTTATTACGCCAAACGCCACCCTATTGCATCTCTGGCATATTTCGTTAGGTAAAATTTTGGAGCCAAAGACACAACTTTTTACACACGTGGACTTACAATTTTAATTCAGTATACAGGGTGTTTGCGAAATGCACCGACAAAAAAAACTGAAAATTGGTCTGGATGAGTAGATATCATTAACAAAAAAATGTTCTAATAAAAGTGTTTTAGTTTTCGACATAAAGTTGATTGAAAATTTGGTCAAAATAGCATGTACGCTACTGAGTTAATAGTGATTAAAACGATAATGTGATTAAAACGATAATGTGGTTACTAAGAAAAATCTACCATTGTAGGTGCATTGTAAAAATTAAAAAAAAAAAACGTAATCTTCATTGTAACTATAAAAATTCCGTCAAATTTATTGACTTTTAAAATGGCAGCTTTTTCTAATGACGAAATGACCGATATGGTCTTGATTTACGGAGGAGCATTTGGAAATGATCATGAAGCGCAGCGTCTCTACCAGGAGGAATTTCCAGGCCGAAAATTGCCTCATCACACAACATTTAGTACCGTTGTTCAACGTCTCTGGGAAAACGGAAAATTTCAGCCAAGTACGACGGATCGTGGTCGTGAAAGAACCGAACATGTGGAACCAGAAATACTAGAAATTGTTGAAGAAAACCCAAGCATAAGCATTCGCAGATTATCAGAGATTAGGAGTTTCTCCGTTTGTTATGTGGCGAACCCTTAAGGTACGTGTCCACTGGAGAGTGACTTGGCGAGAATTCGCGAGAGTTACTTTCAAGGGCTTGTCGATTTGAGAGGATATTTTGGCAAATTTTGCTCGCCGATAGATGTCGATCAGACAAAGCTCTCAAAACCCTGTCCACTACACAGTTGCACTTGCGAGGAAAATGGACCCTCTTTACTCGAACCGACAAAGAATTTATGATTTTACGAGCCTTTTGTTAATTTATTTTTCACGAAATACGGTAAAATATTGCAGCTGTGAAAACAGGTAGTAAGAGGACATAAATTATTATCTGGACCTAAAATTGTGCTAAGAAATACGCAAATGCACGATGCTATTTCTATTCATGAAAGAGTAATAGTAACATTACGATTTTTTTGTATCAGGTACATATGTAAAAGTATTATGTAAATCATTGAACAAAATAAGGTGTTCTTCATAGGTTATGTCACGTACATTTTGGGGTTTTTGGACCTTTCTTTTCTGTGTCACAGGTTGTCACATTCATATGATCCCACCCTCTATTATAATGTCATATAATTTTAATGTAGAGTTGATTTTGATTAAATCAACATTGCAATTATTACTCTTATTTAATATTATGTAAAATCTTCTTTCCACATATCTCTTAAAAATGTAAAAAATTGGTCGAAAGTTGTTTCGACAGAACTTCCCTCGCACCGAAAGAACTATGAAACATATCTAACATTTTCGAGTTGAGTTTTTTCTTTACACAATTTTGTGATGACGTCATCAACATTTTTGCAAGGTCACGTATATCAACTTGGATTGGTGCAGTATAATACTAAAAATAACAGTAGATGAATATGAATGCAGTGATAAATCACAATTAAAAACTCAACATATTTTGCACACTTTGGATAGAATTTATTCTGAAAAATTTTGAGATGACGTCATCAAGTTTTTGTTGGGAATAAACATATATGTTTTGATTAACAATTTACCACGCTTACAATAACCTTAAAACGTCTGGAAGATTTCAAAGTACCTATTCAGTTTTGCAATTCTTGTGTTATTCAGGAAACTAAAATCACGCATTCATTTTTTTTTGAGTCGCCCTGTATAAGCAAATCTAAAAAATATGAACACAATAATAAATTACAAGTATTATACTGATCATATATATTTTGCACATTTCGGGTGGAAATTATTCGGCAAAATTTTGAACTGACGTTATCAATTTTTTGGAGGGGATAAGCAAATATATTTTGATTAAAAGTTTATTATGCTTATCATAACTTTAAAACAGCTGTAAGAATCAAAATTAAATTGTAAAATGTTGTTTTATGTTTTCTTTTCCAAAAATCTGGAATCGACCCAGTACTTTTGGAGATTATC